CAAAACCCCGACCATTTAAAAATGCAAATTAAAATGATTGAATTACGAAGTTAAATACGTGTATAGTAATAATAAGATTGATCATAAATTCATATATATATATATATTATATTTAATCGAAGAATAGGATTTATGAGTAAAGATTTTATCATAGAAGAGTTAATATAGAATAATAACTTGCCTTTGAATAATAATTCAACCTACTACGCCCTAGCGCCACACATCTCCATTGTTAGTTTAAACTGAGATATGCTGCATAAGAGCTTAACAGTAGATAGTCTTATTAGTTCAGGTCATAAGTGCGCTCATAAGGTCATCTGCATCAGGTATCATGTCGACATCCATGTCCATGGCGAATTCTTGACTGCAGTATTACTGCTAACCCTCAACAGTGTTAATGTTAAGGCAATTAAGGTTTTAATTCAGAAGTTGCTGGCTCTTGAGAGGTTGCCCGCATCTGCTGCCGTTGATTGTCTCATCCATGTGATTCTCAATCTACTCTTGTCTGAAAAAGAATCCAATATTTTTTTTCTCTTAGTAGAAGCTGGTCTCGTTGTCACTGCTATTCTCGCTTTCTGAGAATTTTCTTTCTCTCCTAATATTTCCTAGTGCTTGTCCAAGATATTATTGTAAACTGCAAAGTGGAGGAATATCATGTACTTACTGATCTTGATTAAAGTTTGATTGGAAACCAAATACTGGGACATTGTATAGATTTGGTTGTCCACTTCCATTTTATAGTAGAGACTCAAAGTTTATTGCTTCAGATAAGGTAAGCGGGGTGCAAGAGAATTGAATGAGATCATCATCATCGTCGGAATCTTCATCGCCGAAACAATCTTCGACTAGCTGTTATGAAACCTCTTGATTTAGTTCATTGCCTGTTTTTTCATTACACTGTTGTTGCATTTGACCATTCATAAGAGCACCTTGGCTGGCATTATTTTCACTCTTCTAGGACAATTAGCAATCTTTCTCATAAGTTATGTTTTGATTTTAACTGTATTTGTTTGAATTGGTTAAGCTCTTGAAATTTCTAGAGTTGAAGCCTTCTCCTCCATTCAATCTAGCGGCTCTTCAATCTTGAGTGGTCAATGTTCTCTTGGTGTTCGTGCCAGATACTTCTGGAACAACAACCCTCATTTGCTTTTGATCTTTTTCTTAACGACGAGGCATAGCTCCTTCATCAATTTCCCCAAGGCGCCCATCTGCACGAAGGCCATCAGAAAGTGAAAACATTCCACCTGCCTGCTTACTTTCAGTGTCTTCATATTGTGCAAATTGAGGGAATACAGACGTGTACAGCTCTGGTTCAGTTTTACTTGCTGTCTGATTCACTCGTTCCCTTTTAGCTTTAAGTTAATTAATATATGTGGAAAGGAATTGCTTACCATAGCTTGGGCGCCTTTAGCAAATTTCGTTGCACCTGCGCATCCATCTCAAAGGAATGCTCCCGAGATGAGGAGTACAGTGACGACTGGGATCCAATCCAGGCTGGGGCCGTTTCTCTAGGGGAATTATATGAAGCTCCTTAGTAATCAAGGTTAGGTAGAATAAATTCACAGTCATCGCCATGAAGCTGATGATGGTGCGAATCAAGAGTTGACGCAGTCGCAGTGCTTACAAATAAGTTCGCATGCGCTATGTCTTCCCCTTGTCTAGCAAGGAAATTCTACTTGCATTCTTGAGGTGCTCTGAGGTTTTAGAAGGGCTTGTTATCGTGTGAAATTTCAATATGCTCATTGTGTTTCGCTTTATTGTTCTTTTGTGATCGTACCATGTTTCAAAATATTAATTATTATTATAATAGAAATTATTACTGATATAATATATCAAGCCAATTGTATGTATTTGGGGTTTTGGGGTTTTGGGGTTTTGGGG